GATATTACAATTAAATGTCCTTTTGTTATTCTTCATTACGAGAAATTATAGGTTGTACATCTATTTAATACCACAAGTATTGCTTTATTTGTTTTGGTAAATATGTTTGTCATTTCGATCAAATTTTCGAAGTTTTTGACTCATTTGATTAATTATTTTTGTTTTGTAAATGAATGTGACTATTTTGTCTGAATATTCTTCGTATTTTGGTTGATGTGTTTGTTTAATAATTTCGCACAAAGTTATACAAAGGGTTATCTGTTCATAGCAGTCCTTAATTTGTAATTAATACACTAGAGGGAAGGCAGCTAGCCAAAAACACTAAAAGCCAATTTTTTGGCTACTCTTATCTGACCAAATAGTATGATTTGACCGCTACTCTTATAATGCACCCATGGCCTCAAAGTGCGGAAGCGTTTGTTCGGCAACGGAATACAAACAATAAATCCACAGATTCACAGATGGACATTCTAACCACTAGACGACGCTCGATCCCTGGTAGTTGCATATTCGTGCTTTTTTATCATTTTGGGTTTTGATAAATGTTACTGTCTGTTTTGATCAAAAGTTTTCATCAGTTTTTGTGTTTATATATATATATATATATATTTATATATGTCTATGTTTTCTTCTGTGGTTTGTTAAATGACTTTTGACTATTTTAATTGATTTTTTTGTATTTTTTAGTTACGTCAGTATGTGTTTAGTCATTTTTTGTATTTAGGTATATGTCGCCAGCTGTCTGTTTTGACCAAATATTTTTGTGTTTGATTTTGACAGATGTGCCTACCTTTTTATAAACCTTTTTTCTATTTGGTTAAAAGAATGGTCTGTTTTAAACTAATTTTTGACGTGATTTGGCAAACGTATTTTCCAGTTTTGATCGAAGTTTCTATGTGTTTTGGTACACGTGTCTTCCAATCTTTACCGAACTTTCTACGTGTTTTGGTAGTTGTGTCATCCAATTTTGCTCGAAGTTTCTCGTGTTTTGGTAGACGTGTCTTCAAGTTTTAATCGAACTTTCTGTGTGTTTTGGTAGACGTGTCTTCAAGGTTTAATCGAACTTTCTACGTGTTTTGGTAGACGTGTCTTCCAGTTTTGACCGAACTTTCTACGTGTTTTGGTAGACGTGTCTTCTAGTTTTGATCGAACTTTTTAAGTGTTTTGGTTGATGTGTCTTCCAGTTTTAATCGAACTTTCTACGTGTTTTGGTAGACGTGTCTTCCAGTTTTGACCGAACTTTCTACGTGTTTTGGTAGACGTGTCTTCCAGTTTTGACCGAACTTTTTACGTGTTTTGGTAGATATGTCTTCCAATTTTGATCGAACTTTCTACGTGTTTTAGTAAATGTGTCTTCTTATATTCATAATACTTTAGTCGAAATTAATAAACGCTTGTCACGTTTTAGGTATTGTTATATATCCTGTGTTAATGGTATATAATTTAGGGCATCAAACTGTCCAAAAGTGATCATCCATTCATTTATCTCATAATGTATGCAGTACGAATGTTATAATGTTCAAAATTTGCTCCTTAGTAAAACATATTGTGTCTGTTTAAGGATTTACCACATTGATCTCCTACAGTAATGAGCTAGGTTTAATAATTACTGTTTTGTTATCAGAGTTAATTGTGCTTCATTAAGCCTAAATTGTCACATCATCGTCGCCACACATTGTTTTGTTTGTTTGTTTTGAATTTCGCGCACGGCTCCACGAGGGCTATCTGCGCTCGCCGTCCCTAATTTAGCAGTGTA